CTCGCTGAGCGCCGCGGGCGGTGCAGCGACGCGCCCGACGCGCCCTAGCCCGCCGCCTTCGGGCCGCCGCTCGTCCCTCGCCTAGTCCATCGCCTCTGCCGCGCCTCCGCGCAGCGCCGCCTTGCGCTGCTTCGCTTTGCTCGGCTTCTTCGGCTTTTGCGCCGCGCCGGCGTCGCCCCCGATGCCCATCTCCTCGTTGTAGGCCTCGAGGTTGTCGCTCTCCCACAGCTCCTTGCCGAGCAGCTCCTCGCGCTCCTGCGGTGCAGAGACGCCGCGCTCGGGGCGCGGGCATGCAGCGCACTGCGTGGACACAAGGGGCTGCGAGAGCAGCGAGTGCGGCGGAGGACAGCTTCGGGGAGGTGCGTCGGAATGCCACCCGGGCCGCTATTCGCTCTTCCGCTTCTAGGCTCGCTTCTGGGCTCGCTTCTAGGCTCGCTTCTAGGCTCGCTTCTGGGCTCGCTTCTGGGCTCGCTTCTGGGCTCGCTTCTAGGCTCGCTTCTGGGCTCGCTTCTGGGCTCGCTTCTGGGCTCGCTTCTAGGCTCGCTTCTGGGCTCGCGCTCCTCCGCGTCGATGAGCCCCCACTGATACGCCGAGAGGCCGAGCGCGCGCCTGCAGGGGAAAGTTCCGGGAAGGAGGGTTCCGAGAAGGCTCCGCCAGAAGGCTGCGAGAGGGCTAGGAGGGATCCGAGGAGGCTCCGAGAGGGCTCCGAGAGGGCTCCGAGAGGGCGGGCGAGCCTCCGGTTTTGTGCCAGCTGCTTGGCGTGCTGTGTGTCCAGCAGTCCGGACCCGGTGCTAAGGCCGGTGAGAGTGTGCCTCGTGTCGGCTCCCGAGCCAATCGTGTGCAGCGTGTGTGTGCGTGTGGCCCGTCCTCCATGCTAGGAGGTGTGTAAGACTGACTGGCTTGGCGCGCGGACGGGTGCAAATCTTCAGCGTGGCGGCGACGGCGGCGGCGGCTACTGGTGCGGCGGGCGCGCGCGCCGCGTCAGCGTCTCTGGCTCTTTGGTGATGACGGCGTAGAACTCGCGCATCATC